TGCATCTACAGATGCAGAAGAACATTTTCAACATCTGCGTCAGATTTTCACTCGCCTTAAAGATCATGGATTAAAACTAAATCCATCCAAATGTATGTGTACTTGGTCAGCCCTCAGTTTCCTTTCTTGGAATGTCTTATCACCCAGAATGGAGTCAAAACCTTTACCGGAAAGAGTCAAAGCAATTAACGACCTACCTCAGCCCAAAAACCATCTCTGAACTGAAGCGTTTTCTAGCAATGTTAAATTTCTACCGACGCTTTCTGCCAAATGCCGCAAAAACACAAGGCCTGCCTACATGAAGTTTCTGAAGAATAGCAAAAAAAAAAAAAAAAAAAAAAAAAACAAAAAAAAAAAGAAAGAGATCAACGATCTGCTGTCTCCTTGGACTGAATCTGCATCTGCAGCATTCGTGCAATGCAAACACGATCTGGAAAATGCAGTCACACTTTCTTATCACTCACCTAGTGATCAGCTCTCTATAATGGTAGATGCATCTGACACGGCCATAGGAGCAGTGCTTCAAGCCCATACCACTAAAGGACTTTCCCCAATGGCATTCTTCTCCAGAAAACTTAACTACTGCAGAAAGGAAATACAGCACATATGACAGGGAGCTACTTGCTGTGTACTGTGCTGTTAAATACTTCCGGCACAACTTGGAAGGACACGAGTTCATCATTTTCACGGGATCATCGACCATTAACCTTCGCTTTTAGAATAAACTCTGACTCATGTTCTTCTCGTCAGCTTCGACATCTGGATTTCATCGCCCAGTTTAGTACAGATATCAGATATGTCTCTGGTACTGATAATTGTGTCGCTGATGCCTTGTCTCGGGTAAACAATATCAACCTCACTACCCCAGATTTTTCTGAAATTTCAAAAGCTCAATTGTATGATGAGGAACTCAAGAACCTAATCTCAAATCGACAAACCTCCCTTCAGTTACAACCGCTGCACATTGATCCAATGCTTAAAATTTACTGTGACATAGAGAACAATAGAATACGTCCCTATATTCCTGTCAATTTTAGAAGTGAAGTGTTTAATGCCTTGCACAATTTGGCACATCCTGAAATCCGTGCCACCAAAAAGCTGATCGCAGACAGATTTGTCTGGCCAGCAATGAATCAAGACATCACAGAATGGACTCGTTCATGTATTAGGTGTCAACTGTGTAAAGTATTCCGTCACACTCGCAGTCCCATTCAACAATTTAACCTTCCAGCAAGACGCTTTGATCATGTGCACTTAGACTTGGTTGGCCCATTGCCTCCTTCAAATGGTTACACTTACCTCCTCACTTGTATTGATCGGTATACAAGATGGCCTGAAGCCATTCCTATTGAAAATATATCCGCTGAAACTGTAGCTCGAGCATTCATCTCCCAGTGGCTTTCAAGATTTGGCATGCCTACCACCATCACTACCGACGAAGGCCGACAATTTCAATGTCACTTGTTCGCATCCCTCACCTCTCTTCTTGGTATTCGCCATATTCGCACAACACCATACCATCCATCTGGAAATGGGATGGTGGAACGCTTTCACCGATCTCTCAAACAAGGTCTGAAGTGCCACAGTAGCACACACTGGACAGAAACCTTACCCCTAGTCTTGCTCGGTCTTCGCACAGCATTCAAAGAAGACATTGGTAGCACTTGTGCTGAACTGTTATATGGTGTAACACTCCGTCTGCCAGGTGAATTCTTTCACCCAGAATCTACTCCAGTTATCGACCCTCCAACATTCCTTCAACGTTTACGTGAGACCATGAGCAATATCTCGCGAACCCCAGCATCCTCGCATAACCAGCCAAGCTATTTTGTACATCCTGCGCTTGAGACATCTTCGCACGTATTCGAGCGCAACGATGCGATTAAGCCAACTTTAACACCTTCATATGATGGTCCATTCAAAGTTGTCAAACGAACAACGAAACATTTCACCATCCTCTGCAATGGCAAACAATCAGTGATTGGAATCGATCGTCTCAAACCACCATTTCTAATGCAAGATCATACAACTCCCTCATCAACATCACTCCCGGAAGAAAGCTTACATCCCGTTAAAGAGCAACCTAAAACTACCAGATCTGGAAGAAAGGTTAAATTTAACCCAAAGTACTTATAACGTACCGATGGTACTTGGGGGGAGTACTGTGGCGTTCCGACAGATACTTCAACTTCTATTCATGAGATGGCGCCACGTGTCAAATCCAGTTCTTAATCGGAGCAGCAAAGCGACGTCATTTACTCACTCGGACTTCTCGTTAGACAACTGTACGCGACGATAGCATGAACTGTGTTCCGAGCTCTGCGTCGATCTCTGCAATGTAATTTTTAATTGTAATTTTAGTACTTAATATATTCTTTTGTTATAGGAGATTGTCTACTCTTATTTTCTTTAATTATATCATGCATTAAGCAAACGACCACCAAATATCTAAGTACTGAAATTATTGTAACAAAAAATAAATGAATAAGTAAAAGAAAAATCATCTTCCGTTCATACGCATTACTAATTTCAAGAAGCGGTTTTTTTCCCCTTTCCTTGTCTTGCAGCTAAAACTGAAAGTAAGCGAACTACGATTTTTCCCAAGAATCTGCCTTCTGGGCCTCCCAGGAATGTAGCGTGGGTACGGACATAGCAATACATATTTCTTTTTTTTTTCCCTAACTGTCATGATTTGAATAAAAATTTTCATTATAAGCAATGGCTTTTATTGTCTCTAAAACATTACTTACCTGTATTTAAAGCCGAATATTAACTTTTATTTGCTTAAACCGAATCAGAGAAATTAGAAATGCACATTTTCTTAATAAATATTCAAAGGTGTGTACTTTAATTTTTCTTTCGATGTATAACTGATTTTCAATCTGCTTTAACAGAAATTTTATAATTAATGAATCAGGGTTACCATGCCCCATACTCCATAATTCATCTCCAGATTTCTATGTTGCACGTATAATTTTTGTCATGGCTCTTACAATTCACGCCGCATCCATTACTGCTGTTTTATTCATTTGCATTCGCTTGTCAAAAATCCTAGAAGGCTAAAAGAAAAAGGTTTTCCTAAGGACATGACGAAATTGATTCATATTTATGCTAGACTTTTCAATTTGTAATTTATATTTGTCTTCGTAGAGAACTGGCTAAGGGAAACTCAGTCGTATTCACGATGCACGTAAGGAAAAACAAATGAAAACCCCCATGTAGTATCTATTCCACATCACCATCGAATACCGAATCCAGATTGATCTGACAGAATTCAGAAGTCGTATCCATTAGATCCCTTGTGAGTCAGGTTAGTACTGGCTTTAAAGGATTTTTAATTAAGGCTAGCACTTGGAACTGTTTCCTAAAGGAAGGTACACTTCAGCGAGGAATTTTTTAAGGGAAATTGACACATTTACAATATTTGGGGAAAAGAAAATCACAAAAATTCCATGCAAGCCAGCATATTCAGTTAATATTCATTATGAAGTATTATTCAAAGATTTAATAATTTAAATTATTACTGCAATATTGTGGATTAATAAAAAGATTATGTTAGGTTACTTAAATACAGTAAAGTATAAGAGGGCTGTCTGCCTGAGGGGAAGATTTTCTGAGGGAAACTGACTCGTATGCAAGTCATGCCTGGGAAAAACTAGAACATTCATCTGAGATCGAACCCATTTCGAAGTGTCAGAATTCATCGGTTTGGGAAAACAAAAGAAATTGCTTAGTTGTTTCATATTCTCTTTCTTTTCACTCAACAAACTACTGAAACCACACCAGTTGATATACTGCTCATCAAACATAGGTCTCATGTGGTCTTTCCTAAGCATTTTTAGAAACGTTTCTCATTGTTTTAAATGGTATGGTTATCGATGGGCATGTACAACACTCCTCGAAAGTCTTGTGACTAAACCAAATTCGAATGCTTGCAAGAAGCCCACATTATTTTACTTATTATTTTACTTAACTTGATTTACAGAATAAAATATGGCGAACATTTAAAAAGCATCCAAACTACGTTTAGAACATTTTAAAGGAAAGATTAAGAGCATTTTCTTTTCTAAAAAAAGGGGAAGGAAAACAGAAAAGAGAAAAAGAAAACTGCACTTCAAAACTTTTTATTTACAATCCATTGTCTCGAAAAGAAGATGTCCTTATTTTAAGTTAAAACATATTTTAAAATGTAAATAAAAATTTTTAAACTTGCAATCTCATCTCAAAAGCTATTTAATAACTGAAAAAGTTTAAAATAAGCAATTAAGAGAGTTGAATGAACTCCCATAAATACATGGCATAAAATCACACGTTTTAACACTAGAAGCGCCGTTGGGGTCATTTTGACCTTTTTTTCTAATTTTCCGCGTTTTTTTTAACATACAACTGAGCTTGGAAGCTGATATTTTTTTACTTTTTCTAAAATGTTTCCAAGTATACTATGGCAATTTTTCATAATTCTAAGTTAATTATTTAAATAAATAATCGCATATATACCTAAAACAGCCAACTGGGGTCATTTTGACCCTCATAAGAAAAACGACATATTTTAAGCGAATGTCCGTTTTCGAATTCCCGATGCCACGTTTACGTTTTCTGCGCATTTGGAAACACGCAGCTCTTATCGTGATGACTCAGGGGAGAAAAATAAAATCCAGAACGGAGCATATTCTCTTTCCATTGCAATGCCGAGAGGAAGAGGATTGAGTACACAAGAGTGCCTTGCCCTCCTTGAACAGCTGGAATCAGATATAAGTGGTGATGATAGCAGTGATGAAGATTTTAACGTTGATATGAACTTACAGAATGCGTCACTCTCTGAAAGCAGTGATAGTGATGTCGAGGACAGTTCTGGAAATGTGATCCCTATGCGGGAAGCCGGAAGCTCACGTGGACGTGGACGCGAACGTGGACGTGGTCGTGATCAAGGACGAGGCAACAACATTGCTGGCAGAAGTAATGAGAAGTATACCTCACCCAGCGGTATTCTCTGAACCCCTATGAACCTTAGCAGCACCGCTTCCACTTCAGGTCGCGCGCCAGCTCGAAATATTGTAACCACTGCAAGTGGACCAACGTCGTTTGCTCGTCGTAATATAGGAACAAATCCTGCTTTAGCGTGGCGTTTGATGGTGAGTGAACCAATGGTGAAACACATTCAATCATGTACAGTTGCTGAGGCACGACACCAACTTAGAGATGATAGTAACTGGCATTTTACTCTGGAAGAACTTGATGCCTTTTTTGCCCTCCTGTATGCCTATGAAGCACTAGGCCATTCAAAACTCTGTGCAGATGATTTGTGGAACATGAATTGGGGACCAGCTGTGTTCAAAGAAACAATGTCACGCAATCGGTTCCGTGAAACAATGCGGTATCTCAGATTCGATGTCTGAAGCACCAGAGCTGATCTTCTCGCCACTAACAAATTTGCTCTCGCTTCTGAAACCTGGTACAAGCTAATGGAAAACTGTTATTTATGCTATAATCCTGGACCAGAAATAACCGTTGATGAACAATTGTTGCCTTGTAAATTAAGATGTAGATTTATCCAGTACATGGCGAATAAACCGGACAAGTTTGGCATCAAACTCTGGCTAGCAACTGATGTAAAATCCAAATATGTTTTGAATGGTTATCCTTATCTGGGCAAGGATGAAGAACGACCAAACTAATTTACAACTTGGGGAAAGTGTAGTTCTCAAATTACTGCAACCACATCTAAACTCCGGACTCAATGTCACAACTGACAATTTTTTACTTCTGTGAAACTTGCAGATGAACTTTCTGCGAAAAAAACCACAATTGTCGGGACGATGAGTCTGAATAAGCGAGAATTACCCCCTATTGCTCGTGACACTTCTTTGGCACGATATTCATCTTTTGCACTGAAAAATGGAGACAAAACACTCACAATATATAGGTGCAAGAGCAAAAAGAATGTCGTGATTCTGAGCACGATGCACAGTAATGTGTTTGTTGACGACAGCATAAAGAAAAAAAACCGAACACTGTCACTTACTACAACAGTACAAAATGTGGCGTTGATGTCGCACATCAGATGCTGAAGAAATATAGTACAAGTAGTGGAAGTCGCAGGTGGCCTGTACATGTTTTTTTTATAACGTCCTTGACATTGCTGCACTCAATGCTTGGATTATATTCAAAGAATACTTGGGCACCTCTATTTCCCGTCGAGAAGTTATTCTTGCACTTGTGGAAGAACTATGAGTTTGTGCATTACGCAACAGATGCCCCGCGATTGCTCAAATACAGGCATTTAAACGAAAGAAATGTGCACTTCAAAGTTGCAAGGGATAAAACCAGACTGTTGTCAGTTGTGAGGGATGCCAGAAACCAATTTGTGGTAAATGTGTTGCTGTCACTGTCAAGCGTTCATATTGTATCGCCTGCGGTAATGTATAACAAACTTTGTAAAACATTGTGCGTTTATTCCCAATTTATATTTTTTTGTAATTTTTTGCATATGTTCTATTTTCCACTTTTTGCATTTGTATCTTTTGTTTGTTTTTCATAGATTTTGTTTTTGTTTTTGTACTCTTACGTTGAAAGATATTGTGTGCTAATTTGCACTGATTTCACGAAAAAAATTCTAAAGTATAAAAAATAAATAACAATCTCTAAAAACTCTTTTATGTGATCATTTCAGCATCATTTCAATCATTTACTGTGTTTCTATTTACATTTCTTATGAGGGTCAAATTGACCCCCAATGGCGGTTTTCGGTTAGTCTGAAATTCGGCTGTTCTAGTGTTAATGAGGTGTAAAAATTTGAATGCGTAACAGAAGAAATAGTAATAATAATACTTAATTGTGATAATAGTCAGTTGGAAATTAAGTGCCAACTTTTACAGGTGCTTAATAAACAATTGATTTATAAAGCTACAGTTGGGCACTTTTCAACGTTGTGTTTTTATATAATTTTCATCCTCAACGTTGCTTTTTATATAATAAAAACATGCATGAAAAAATACTCTAAAAGGAACTAATAATATAGATATATCTTCAGTAATTGATTTGAAGTCATTTTACTCTTTATACAGTATCAAAACTTATTGCAACATTTATTCTAATATATCGTTAGTTCAGTTTAAAGGAATGGATTTTCCTTTCTCTCTTGTCGCTGCAAATAAGGCACTGAGATCTAAAAGTATGCCGACTTCTGATTCTTTTGCCTAGCTTTTGCCACAGTTATCACACACGATTTAAGAGAGAATTGAACGCTGCAAAACTTTTAAATTTCCTAGGGGATAAATTCTGGTTTTTTTCTGTTAACGTCGTGCCATTCAGCGCGAAACATAAATATTGGCTTGAAATTTAATTAGATGGCGGCAACCCCAAACGAAATAACGCTCCTGGAAAAGAATGACTATTTTTTTAACCCAGAATAAATCTCTACCATATAATAAAAGAAGAGTCTGTCTGTGTGTGTGTGCTTTCGTTCGCACTGCGGTAAGCTAATAGACCCACGGCTACGAAATTTGGTACATAGGTGCATCAAGACAAGAGCTTGTATCCAAGCTTTCTGTATCCCCTTTATTTTTAATGCAAAATCAGTTGAGTTGTATATATTGTTAACTTTCAGGTGTTTGCATCCGGCAGCGGCCAATTCATCTGCTAATTCCTGGACTGTAGTTCAGTTTTTGCATTTATGCGCAACGGTGTCATTTCAGAGCTATTCATGACGCGTGATAAACAGACTACCAGCAGGGTCAGATAGGATTAGGCTGGCAGGCTCGAGCATAGTGAAACCAAAATGCCAGCCCCTTTTAAAGTTACTCACCTTTCTCCAAGGCACAAAGGTGCCAGCACTATTATGAACTTCGGCATTGTGAAGAAAGCATTTATCGTCAAGGCTGCTGGCACGCCCATATAAAAGTCTTAATCGTGTGAAAGTCTTGTCAAACACTTACCAACTTGCACAAAGATTCCGACACCTTTCAAACTGACCATCGGTCGCGAAGACTGTGTGTCTTTATGAAGCTCGGTATCATAAAGAAACTAATCCTCGGCTCCTTACAATAACGTTTTCTGAAATCGTCCTGATGGTAGCATATAAAAATTCTTCTCTTTCATGCAGTGGAGTAAAGAATTAGATCCAAAAGTATGAATTTGCGACGGGCTAACGACGATGTTGTTAAGATGTTGAGTTTACTACCTTTAGTTTATCTTTCTATATTTTTAGAATATCATTAAATCTCTTTCTTTCTATTAGTTTATTGTTTTCTGCGGCATGAATTCTTCAGTTATTATTAATGTTTCATCTTTTAAACCATCCATATTAGATCACAAAGCAGTTGCACAGGTACCAAAGTCTCGCTCATTTCCGTAATTCCGGATAGCCCCATCCGGCATCTTGCTACCCCGCTAAGGAGCATTTGACCATTGGCATTCCGTTACTATAGATGTACCAAAATGTCTTTTTTCCAGTCTATAATCTGCGTTGTGTGTTGGCGAGTATGCTAAAAAATAAATACTAATCGGCCTCTGGCAGGTCACATTTTCTTGGCGAAAACTTTGGTTTCAAGATATCTTTGGAAACAAACGGTCACTAGACAGATCATCTCCAGTGACCTTTTGGTAATCCTATCGAAAGTTCGAACACCATGAGGCAAAAAATGTGATCCGAACGCAAGGCCCGGAAGTCGCGCGAAGGAGAAACGCATAAGAAAAGAAAATTTCCTGGACTTCAGCTTTAACCGCGGTTGAAGCGGGTTATATTTTTTGTTGAAAATTATAACATGTGTCCGAGACCTGAATAAATATATAAATGAGAGAAAGAGAAAATGCTACGCCATGAAAAATACGTCACTTGGCTCAAAAAGAGGTAATTTAGTGAAATCATGCTTATGCTTATGCTTTACCTTTCGCAGCAGGCATCAACTACAAAGAGTTTTGACCTGTTCTTTCGAATTTGCCGCATCAGGAGTGGCCAATCGCGGTAGTGAAAATTTAAGGGACATGTATTACATGTCCACCATCCGAAGGCAAAAAACCTAGAAAATGCTAAAGCATGCAGTCAGTAAATGCCTCCATACGAGGCGAGAGAATTTATGCATGGCGTGGAAAGATGGAAAATCATGAAATCAGGGCAGTAGTGGAGTCATCATATGTCAGCAGAATCTTCATTTGGGAAGTCCATCTGGCTTAGTCTTCATTTCCTGCGATTCTCATTAGCATCATGAATTGGAAACCTGCTTTAAGTTTTTCAGCTGTTGATTTTGCCTGTCTTATCCTCTCTATGTGTGAAATTATGGAACTCAGATCTCGTTGACTTTTTCGGCTTTTTACCATGAAACGGCATCAGCAAATTCCTCGGATGGCGGCTTGAATTTACTTTTAACTTTCTCGCTGTACGTTTTTGACTTGTACTTAACTTTACTGGTTTTGTACACAGTTAGTAGACGAGAAGTTTTCCTCATTTTTCCCTGCAACTGCAGGTCTTGGGGTAGGCTTTTTCTTTTCAAATCGCTTTTTGTATTCACTGCAACCGCTGTAGCTGCTGATATGATTTAAACTGCAGAAAATGCATTTTGGTTGTTCATCGGCTTTCAGAGGGCATTCGTTGCTCTGGTGAGGTTCCCCACACTTGCAGCATCGTATTGGGTTGTTGCAAAGGTGTTGGGCATAGCCGAACTCTTGGCATCGGAAACACTGTATTGGGCGTTTCTTCGGCGCGTAAATTTCTATCATCACATTAAACTGAACATATTGTTCAATTTGTGGATTGAGTATCCTGCAGCATTTTTCTTAAGTTCCAACAGGAAGATTAGTGAAATCATGCAAGAATAAAAAGTGACGATTTATCCTGCAAGAGTTGTGCACATAAAGTAGTTTCATGCGGAGCCGGGCTCGGCAATAAAACTGTCACAGGATTTAACCAACACCTTCTAGCGAGACGGTGTTAACTTGACCCCATCCATGCTAGTTAAGAGCTCTAATAACCGGAAATCCTCCTCCTGGGTTTGAATGGCAGCATTGCACCAAGTGAGGCGGCATGCGCCATGATTAAAAATAAAGCGCCGTTAAAAAATTCGACTTGTTTACTGTACTTTGAAAACCAACTAACGTTCATTTTACGATGTTCGTAAAGAGTTAGTTTTGTCCGTGACTGGTAAAAAAGTCACAGTGGAGGGAATAATAATTCGATAACAGAAAAATCAAAGTCGTTATGTAAGTTTTTTAAAATATTCTAACAATCTCTCAATACAAATATTGAAAGAGGGCCTTAGTGATACTAGTTATTAGCGGAACATTTATACAATATTCTCATAAAAATAACAGAAATTTGTTTACGGAAAGGAATAAAAGCTGCATGATAAATTTGACCAGAAATTTAATAACAGAAAAATTGCTTAATAAACTCGGATCAGAC